GATTTCGATGAAACTTTTTTTCTTTATTCTATACATGCGTGTGAAGGTTATAGGCTACTTGGATTTTTGGAATTCACCTTAGGGCTCCGCCCCATGGGTCTTCAAAGTTCTAATGTTATTCTTATGGACATTTTTTTTTTGTTTTAATGATTACCATAGTAACAGTGAATACAATGTAAAATTTTCAAAACAATGTTTATTATTTCTATGTTGAAAGAAAACAACTCCTGCAAAAATTTGTTGCGTCACTCCAGCTGTCTGTGCTTTATTTTGTTTATGTTTTGGCATTATTTATTGCTTTTAAGGTTATATTTATTTTGCTTTTAAGGTTATATTTCTTTAAAAGAAGTATTTCTTTGCAAAGGGTCGCTCGCCCGTCCACTCAGCATTGCTCTTTTGCGCTTGACTCGCGAACTGCGTTCTTTCTTATATATTTTTTCTTTTTTATGAACACTATCCTTGGAGTTTAAAAACTATAAGTAGCCTGCTCAAGAGTCAGATCTTCGCGCAGCCTATTTATCCATGCCCCAGGTGGACGTACTTCCAATGTCGTCTATCAAGAGGCTCTTCGGTAAATAAAACTAATTTTTTCACAGATGTGTGATACATTACAAACACACAAGTACAACTCATCACAATTTGACATTTTCCGTTTTTTCTAAGTGACGCAGTTAACACATGGTCCACAGTATCTTTTCTTAACTTATATTTAATTGTTATAATAATGTACAATAAAAAAATGTAAAATGTAATGTAAACAATGTACAAGTAATTTCTTTGTTAATTGTTAAATTAATGTATTATTTATACACACAACCCGTACGAAGGACGGGTACACAGCTAGTATACTACTAAACTTAGTAGTGAAACTTATTCTTGACAAGAAAAATGATGATTTAAAGTAAAATTTAGTCTAGGAAAATATATTATAACCATGAAATGATGAAGTTTTATTAACAACCGGAAACCAAGTACAGTGTTTTATTTTTACTAAATATTTGAAGTGCATGCCTGGTTAGAATGGTCATAGTTTAGCGCCTTCTTAACACATATTGTTTGACGCGGATCGAATATATCAGAGTTGATGGATGCATAACCACGGATCGAGTTTAAAATGCCAGGTGCCCGGCATGGCCAGGTGGATAA